TATAGTTGGCAAACGCTGAAACATAGCAACTGAATTTATTACCTTTACCTGTCATACGATCTGCTAGCGTGGTACGTTTTGACTGGCCTGCTTTCACATTCTTGAACGCAACCGTTTTGTTCTCCTGGGAACTGCACTTATTATCTTTAAGAAAGATCTGACAATGTGATCCAAGTTGAACTGGTTCTGGAACGACTCTTCTGTTAATGATATCGTCCTTGACTATTTCTAGTGGTTCCAAAGGTGACACTAGTATAACTTGTGTTTGGCTTGGTAAATAAAGGTTATAATTAGTTATTAAGGAATTAGTTTTTTTTATTAAAATGACTATACTTTCTTTATCTTGTGCGAAATTCATTTTGGAAATGGTTTGATGTGATCCAATGATAGATATCAAAGATTGTTCCAGTATTCGAATCACCAGTGACATCTGGAAGAAAGGGGAACCTTCTACTGTGATATTGCTATCTGTATCAACATGTACCACCACTTTTCCACCATTGCTATTCAGCATAGCACAGATTGCAGCTATAATTTCTTTCAATATTTGTTCCTTGTACTTTTTGCTGTTTTCAAATTTACCTAAGGATATGACATGAACAGTCTCATCAGGACCAACATTCATCGTTCGTAAAGTTGAGTTCATGCGTCTGCTAACATAGGTTGCTGAAGTTTCATGACACACGAAACAAGTCCACAGTGACTCCACACCATTGCAATAGCAATTTGAAATGCAACTTCAGCTTGATGTTCGGTTTGTTATGATCCACTGGTGAAATCCCTATACGGGCATTTTCCATGTCGGAAGAATTACACCCAGAAATCAACTTTCAGTTTCATCGATGTCAAATGTAAAAAGTCATCTTTTTGTGTCTGGTGTGCAGTAAATATTAAAGCTAAAACGATAAACTATTGCAAGATTTATTTTCCGCAAAGAAAATAAATTTCCACAAAATTTGTAGAATTTTTACATTACGTTGTTTCGGGGAATTCCCCATACGTCCTTGTCTCTGCGTCCTTGTATATAGGGGTTTAAAAATAAAGTGTAAATATTGCGTGTATTGTATATATTTGCATGCTAGAAACCTTGATCTTGTATGGATAATATTGATACCAATTTATATACCAGTTTACGCAGGTTTAGAACTTGCAAAGGAGGTTGTTTGTTAAGTACACGTTAAGTTTCACTTTATTATGCAAATCCTCAATTCATAAACCTTAAGTTTGTTTTATTTTGGAAGTCACAATACTTGGCGAAACTACGGCTATAATATTAAACTATAACTATTTCATGACAGCTTGATGTGACTGATATTTCATATGCGGTAATCACTGCCATAAAATTATCCGGCTTCCCCTTGGCTTTAAATTCGATCTTGAGAATATTCAATACCATTTCGTTTATATACACTACATATTTTGTTCGAAAAAATAAAGATTGTAATAAAAATATAAATTTAATACATAAAAAATATAAATATTCATAGCACACAAAATGCAGCGATGCTGCAATATCAGGTGTGCAGTAAAAATGCTAAAATGATAATAAACACCGCAAAATTTATTTTTATAAAGACGAATTTACGTTGCGTATGTGGGGAAAACCCTATACGACTTTAGTCTTTATCGGAATCTTTTACTCTGCTTAGCCAATCACGGCGTTTAATCGTGAATACAATAATGCATAATTACATATCTCTAACATATCGTCAAGCCAAGAAGCAACATATATTCCAAACATGTTGCGCCAATGATCCTTTTGTTTGCATCCATATTATGAACATTGGACCTGACATCGAACATATTATGAACATTGGACCTTTGTGTCTATAAGAGCTGATAAACCTAAACAAGGTATGTTAATGTACTTGTTTTGCTTTATAGATCTGGTCAATAATAAAGTGTAAAGACTCCGTGGATAGACATACATAGTATATCTTAATATTTAATAGACAGTTGAATCCTTGAACTTTTATGGAAATATTGATACCAATTTATATTATATGCCAGTTCACTGGCTTAGAACTTGCAAGGATGTTGTTTGTTAATTAAGTAATTTAATTTTTTTAAAGGGCTTTAACGCCATGACTTTAATCCCCGTTCAGGCGAGAACAACAAGGAGGAATTTCGTTCTCGACCAATCAATGCATTTGTTGACATTTACGCTCTAAGCCAATCAGAATGCGCAATTGATTACTATATACTTCCGGTAAAAACACATTTGAACAGAAGATATAGGGTTTTAAATAAAGCTTCGATTCCTTCGAAGGGGTCAGGATTTTAAATTTTTTTATTGGATTTAACGTGACAAGGTAAAATAAGAAATTTTCTAAAAATTTGCCTCTGGGATTTGCATTTTATTGCCTAGTTTTAAAGTTATCGGTAATTACTGCAATAAAAATATCCGGCTTCCCGTTTCGTTTGATATTTATATTGTGCATGTACACTTTATATTTTGTTTGAAATGCTTGGGAAAATAAAGAGAAGTATAAAAAAATACATAAATTTAATACATGATTCATGAATTATAAACAGTCTTACCAATGTAATTCAGAAAATACTTGCAATGTTGGTTTTGATGATAAATTATAAATAGAAACGTTACTAGGTTCATATTACACGGAGTCAAGTATATGCTTGGACAGCTTCCATATCGAAAGATTTACACCCAGAATCAACTTCGTCGATGTTAAATATGAGAGAAACGTAACTGTTGTGCAGCACGAAATGCTTAACTACCTCAAAAATTATTTTTATAGAGATGAATTCCATAGTAAATTTGTTGGAATTTCGACACTAAAATATGTTGCATATTTGGGGAATTCCCTATACGAGTATTGTCCTTATATAGGAACGTTAACCTGTAAGAATGCAATTTAATATCGTATCAAAACATGATTGTCAAGGCTGGAAGCTATTGTATTAAAATTCCCTATTGTGGATCAAAGAAATAGGAACTTGAAGTAAGTGTAACACGATTCTTGCATATGGATCGAAAGCTGTTCAAATCAGATAATCGTGGTGTTTTCCACAAAGTTCACAAACGTAGAAAATAATTCGAAATAATGAAGCGCAGTTTATCAGTATCAACAATTTAAACAGTATTAAATTTAAAAATTTGTTTGTTTTTATTATATAGAAATTAAACGCGTATCCTCTTTACGAACAACAATGGACGGTCATGTTGATGAGACTAGTCATGTCATCTTCTTAGGTAAATTTGAAAATAACTTCTAAAATAACTGAGTTCTATAGGGACTCGACCTGTTGTAGAAATTATGATGAAACCCATTGTCTATGGCCAATGAGGCGATAATGTATGACAACTGGGTGTATTGCTATTTTTTTCAAAGAGATATTATTTCATTGTGTCTCTTTGACGTTTATTTAATAAAAAAACGGTGGTGGGAAGCGCACTGCCTTGCACTGCTACACTATACTTTACGAACAATGAACGGTCATATTGATGAGACCAGTCATATCATATTCCTAGGTAAATTTGAAAAAGACAAAAGGTACAAGGAGAAAATATTACAAGAAATAATAGCTGCTATCTATGCTATGCTAAATAGCAATGGTGGACAAGTGATGATAAATATTGATACTGATAGCAATGTCATCCCAGTAGAAGGTTCCCCTTTCTCCCAGATGTCATTGGTGATTCGAATTCTGGAACAATTTATGATATCTGTCATTGGATCGAACCAGACCGTCTCGAAAATTAATTTCGAAGCAGATAAAGAAAGCATAGTCATTTTGGTGGAAAAATTTGATTCTTTAATAACAACTAATTATAACCTTTATTTACCAAGTGAAACACAAGTTGTTCCGGTATCTCCTCTGGAACCACCTGAAAATGTGAAACACAATATCATCAAGAGAAAAGTCTTTATGGAATCAGTCCAACTTGGCTCACATTGTAAAATATTCCTTAAATGTAAACATTGTGGTCATCGTGAAGGGAAAATGGTTCAGTTCAAGAATCTTAAAGCAAGTTCTTCAAAACGTACCAAACTAGCAGATCGTATTATTGGTAAAAGCAATAAATTTAGTTGCTATGTATCTGCTTTCGGCAACTATAACGGAGGTCACATCTACTATGGTGTCAGAGATAATGGAGTTGTTGAAGGCGAGCTGATTCCGAATGAACAGGACAAGAATGAAATAACAAGGGAAGTTGGGAAAGTCATCAACAAGATGATTTGGCCTGAGCAGATTGGTCAACCAAAACGAGGGGAACACTGGGAAATATTCTTCGAACCAGTGGTAGATGAAAAGTCCAAGCCTATTCCATCAACCTTTGTGATCGTGATCTATATCGCTCCTTGTCTGGGTGGTGTGTTCACTGAAGAACCAGAATGTTATGAAATGGTTGATGGGAAAGTTAAGAAGATGTCGTTTGCTACTTGGAGAAAAGGAATATTACATCCATTTTGGTTGCGTAGCAGGGAAGAAATCTCGCCTTCAGTTCAACGCGTTGCTTGGAGCTCAGCTAGGGCTCGAAAGGCTTTCACCGTTGGAGATGAGAGGTTATTTCAATTCCTTAATGATGGAAATTGGGATGCCATTTCAGAGCATGTTACTAGAAGTCTTCAGAGATCCTCTGAATTTAGCGGAATGAAGTTATTGGCTTTGTCTATACAAGTCACTGCCTGTTACCGTAGAGGTAGTTTCAATAGAGCACGCATCTTTCTCGAACAGTACAACGCCATTTTACCACAAGCAGAAGATTCTATGATTTTCGAGGTGATGGGATTGTACTTACAAGCAGCTCTAAAACGTGCAAGTGGGGATTTTCAAGAGCTCGCAGGACTAGTGACTGATGCTTTGTCCAAGGCAGAACTCATTGAACCAGGCCTGGTAACAGCGATAGTATACGTTTTTGTTGGAACTGTGACTGACTTAATAAATTCAAAAGACCCAACAAATAAAGTAGTTTCACCAGATATTCTCTCAATGAGAGCTCTGGAACATTCACAGCGTGTTCCAGATAATTCGAAAGGCCCTGAATTTATGAGGCAGAAGACACATCTAACTTTGGCCACTTTTTACCTTGGCTGTAATATAAATGGACGGCGTATCAAGGATAATGTAGACATTTCAGACATAGATAAAGCAAAGACCAGCATAATGGCTGTGCATCAATACGCTGTTGAAGGGCAGCCACTGAGTAGGTACTGTGAAGTTCAGCTCAATTTGGTACAGTCCATTTATAATTATCGGTGTTCACAAGTCGATCTGGACGAAAAAATTCGCTTTTTGCGAAATGCCTTTGAATACGCCAAGAAAGCTGAAGGTCTTGCAAGAGATTATCAGTTTACGGAAATGGTTGAATGGGGTAAGGCTACCAAAGCTCTGTGTACGGAAGAACTAGTGCGAGCGAAATTTGCCAATTGACCAAAGCCGGCAAAGGCAAATGTTACATGATAAGCAATATCATGTAATTTTACACATGTTAAATATTATTACTAATTTCTTATTAACCGACTGCGAGGTCTTTTCAGAGAAATATCAGAACGAGGTCTTTTTTGTACAGACCGAGTCTGTAGGGCGAAGTTTTTACAAAAAGACCGAGGTCCGATATCTCTCTGTAAAGACCGAGCAAGCGAAGTTAATAGAGAGTTTATTATATGGCATTTATACTTGAAACAAACAAGAAATGCATGATTTGAAATGCATATTAGGAGCGTGGTAATGTATTCCTTCTTTTCCACCAAAAACCATTCGCAGATATCTTATTAATAACAAACTAAATTAAATGTTTTGCTGTTTTGTTTTGAAATGGATGCGTTTGTTCTTACGTAATGGACCGCCACGGGAAATAATGGACCGCTGAAAGTGATTCTCAGCCAATCACAGTCCGCCATTTCACCGGAAGTGATGCTTGCCATATAATAATATTATATATTATACTATAGTAGCTTATACTTATTCAAATTATTAATTAAAATAGCTTACATGTATGCATGCATGCATGCATGAGTAAGCAAATAGTTTAAAGATTAAGATGTCCCACAACTAACGCAGCGGACATGACATGATTTAATTGTGGTTTGCTGAAACTTGCTTTAACGAACTGTCTTGCGTACGGGAAACGAGTCGTAATTTTTTTAGTTTTTTCCCTAGCATGCAGAGCGTATAAAAGCCTGAATAGCATCGCCTGAAGATATAGAAACTATAAGGGACCGGTCATTAATAATGGAGGGAGGCGAAATATTGAACATTTTTTTGAGCCGCCCCCGATTGCAAGACCAGTATTCAAAATGGTTGTTATTTACTGCGACTTCTATGGTGAACTGCATATACGTAATAAACTATGGAAACTACGATTATCAGTAGGAACTAAAAAAGTGAAATATTTTGTGGGATACGATAAAGGCGAGAGATTGAAAATGAGTGGGAAAGTATTAAAAAATTGAGGTTGCCCCTTGTCACATATTTTTCAGTTTGAGACCGCCCCCAATTCAGGCAAAAATAGTTCAAGCCGCCCCCGGCCTTTTCTCGCCCACCGCCCACCTCCCATTATTAATGACCGGTCCCTAAGTAAAGAAAAAATTAAAAGGAATATACAAAGGAGAGTATATTAAAGATAAAGAATTGTCAGGAATTGAAGAGTTGTGGTCAGTGATCATGAAAAGAGCCGGATAATCATATAAGTAAGAAAATAAGTATATCATTGAGAGTAATTGGTTTCATGATCTTTGTTGCGAGTAAATAGAACCAAAAGCGCGGCCAAATAAAATCAGAGTAAGGACCGGCTCGCAACACAAAGAAGTAAAATAGACTGTATACTAGTCATGACTCTGAGGCAGGATTTGGCATTTTGCAATTCATCATAATTCATCTGTATGTATGAGGACTGTTTATGTATAAAGCCAGTCTGACTCTGTTTCATGGAATAGTAGTAGTAACAGATTATAGTAAAAACTTAATTTTACGAGGGAAACGTAATTAACCATAATATGACGAGCGGCGGCGCTTGTATAATACCAAAACCAAGTAGAAATTCAGTTTGTTGGTGTTTGAATGACTTGCTTCTAGTCGAATGTGTTCAATGATGGGGGCGTAGCTAGACTAAGTCCCTGACAATCCAGTACATTTCACGAGATATTGCCAATTTTTATCTAAAATGGTTTAATTCTATCCAATCACCGTGGTAGACTTTTTATCACGTCTTCCTATTTTTGTAAAGCCTTTTTATTATCATTTTATATGTACGTTGATAAATGCACCGTGATTTTTCAACAACATTGATACTTCCATGGACTATGGTTTTTCGACATAACCTTCTTTTACGAGTTTCATCTTGTTTAGTAATAGACGTCCACTGTCCACACATGTTTATGAGAGATGTCTGCCCTTGGAGGCTGCATGATTTAGACACGATTTTGTCAGGGTTTTGGTCCGCCTATAATCAAAGTGGGCTGGAAAGAACTCGGTGCAAAAAAGCTCATGTAATTTTCCCCACCCCCGCTACTAACTTCGCGACGAATTTCTCCTTATATTTTTCGGGTAGTTACACCCAACGAAAGCTCCTTAAAATAGATCGGATAGATAGAGCGATGTGGATATTTCATCCAAATGATAAATCAACTGTTAATTAAGTTGCTATTCTAAATGTAGATTTTATATATTTTATGTATTAACCAAATTAGCCTTTCTCACGATGACGAATATTCGCTATTTTTGGGTGGCATCCAATTCTCGTTAACCAATACAGACAATTAAAACAATGTGAAAAGCAATTTTTCAAAATAAACTAATCATTTACAAAGCAAATTTACCATCATTCGTCCACAAAATTATAAAAAATCTCTGTTATGTGGACTTATCTCGCAGACTTCGGTTGCCAAATGCCACCCAAAAATGGCGGCGTGAGAAAGACTAATTAAATTCGAATTTGGTTAAATGTTCCGATATTACGAAGTTCGTATAGGGAATTCCCCCATGGGCCATGGAGCAAGTAATAAATAATTGCAAAGTGCAAACGCAGGTATTTTAGGCCTGTTTTATACGTTGAATTTCGGTCGCGTCGAATGCAATTGAAACAGTAGATAACGAAGCTTAATGATCTGGTTTATCATCTCATCTATTGTCTTAATTGCATTCGACGCGACCAAAATTCGACGTATAAAACAGGCCTAAAAGTCGGTATAGACCGTATAGTCCCGCCTTAGTCAGACCTCTACATTGCACAATAACATAAAATACGCAAAATACTCAAAATGTCATAGCGAAACAAAGTCATTCTCATCTCTTGCATATTTCACCGAAATAGCCGCGTAAAAGGAATCGATGCATATCGTAACTATGCTTTTTTGCGCACACTGTTTGTCTGCGAATCGGGCTTTCAGAACCGGAAATCGGGCTGGAGCATGCGTTCGCTCTTTTGATTTTGATTTGGACTATGATTTGGCAAAAAAAGCACGACAAACGGAAAATTCGCACGGTGCCTGTTTGCAAAAACTGCAATTCTTTCTGATCACTTTGATTCGATCTCAACCGTGAGTCGGCTTCAATCCACAGTGACATACAATAACTGCCTCGTCGTTTCAGTTGGGAATAGAGATCAGTGGAAAAACATGTTTACGTTTTTGTGGGAACACGCTTTTCAACCAATCAACGTTCGCGTACTATAATGTTCATTACAAAAATCGCTTAGTAAGCACTCTTACAACTCAGTAAGGCCCGGTTTAGACGCCGTGCTTTTCATGAGCCGAACTTAATACAATGAATTAAGCACATGAGAAGCACGGCGTCTAAATCAATTAAGCACTGCACTTAATATTATTAAGCACGGCTAAATTAATAAGTTCGCCTGGTTCAGGCGTGCTACACGGCTGAAGCACATGTTGATTTATACTGCCGTGCATGAGCCGAACTTAATTCATATTTTACTCGAGTAAAATAGGCGTACTTCCAATTTTGATTCAGACAGGCGTGCTTTTTATGAGCCGTACTTAATAATTTGCGCTGCTTCACTTCGAAACCTGGGGCGAGTGACATTTCATAATAAGAAAAAACTAAAAAGGTTTTAATCACATACAATCTTGGCATTTCTCTCAAACTACTACAAGTGTTTCTATAACTGTATGGGACACACATAATAAATGTTTTATATTTATTTTATAATATAACTAAGGAAAGATTTGTAGTAGATTCGATATATTTACAAATTCTCATTACGTAATAATGCCGACCTTTGCTCCTTTTGCCTTTATCAGCAAATATCGCTATAAGCCTTAATTTCGCAACTTTTATGCAAAGAATCTAACGAAAGGTGTATGATGTATCCTTTGCTACAAATTGACGTATATAAAGAAAAGAAAGGAAAATTCTACCGCGAAATTTGCCGATAAGACCCATTAAAATTGTTTTGTTTACGATTGTAAATTTAAGCGGGAAATTTCCCGTGTAGAAACCAGTTGTAGAAACACGCTTCTCGACCAATCAACGCTCGCGTACTATGAATGTGCTATATTATCATACTTACTTCGAAAATGAGAAGCCAAGGGGGGCCATTTGTTGGATTTTATATATAATGCAGAGTATAATGCGAAGTAATTTTAATAATCATTGCATTTCACTTCTGGCTTTCAAAGGAGAGAGGCGCTGTTCTTTGTACAGAAATATATTTTGAAAATTCAAAAGTTACGACGTATCATGGCCACAGATGAAACTCCGGGTGAGTGAGTTCAAGAAGCTAGAAATTTCTGTTTTTTAATATATATTTCTGCATGCGAATCCACTTTGATGGAACAAGCATTTAGTATCGTGATAGCACGGGGTTCGATCCATCGACGTACTGATTCCTAACGACATCACACAACTTTACACAACTTGGGCTTCTGTAGGAAAGATCTGAAGGCAAGAAAGAAGCTAAAAACCCAATAGTTAAACTGCTCAAATGATCAACATTTATGATATTTTGATTCAATATATACATACAAAGCATAAATTACTTGGCTTCGAAATTGCGAAGTAATCTCGGAACTTTATTTTAATATTTGGGAGGTCTTCGGATGAATTCCTTCAACTGCTTTCAGTAGTTCGGTAACAGTTTATAAAACATAGCAGGCGATTTTGAATTTAAAAACTCACTTTACCAGTAGAGTTATGACAGGATTTATGCATGAATCACCTTACTTCAGCTCAGTTGTGGAAATTTGGCAGGTTTTTACATTTTCTGGTTAAAATATCAGACAGATTGTCTACTTTAAAAAATTCTAGCAACAAAAATAAGACCTACAATGATACCTTTTTAGCCCTCTCTCTTGATAAATAAAATTGTCTGACACTAGACAGAGTAAAAGTAGTTAGGACTAGTGTCAGCGATACCAGGCCCAAATCGGATGTAGTCGATACTGCACAGTATTGAAAAAGTGTTTTGATTACTTTTAAAATTAGAGATTCATTATAATTCTGTAGTTGTGTCATCATTTTCATGGCTATTTCTAATAAAATTTATGTACTTTTTTGTACTTTGCTGCATTTACCAATTTAATCAAACTTCCTTTACTTTATTTGACATTTTATCCCCTTCCCTGATCAATATTCCTGACCTTGTCGACAGAATAAATAAGAAAAAGGCGGGAAATAAAGTATAATGGTGGAAAATTCTGAAATACAATGGTTGTCGTAGTAATCGTTTGGGTAATCGATACCTCGATACTTTTACGAAAAAGTAATCGGTATCGAATCGATACTGGTGGTATCGCCCATCACTAGTTAGGACTTGGGGTGCTTTCCAGGGTGGAAGGTTTCGCCATGGGGCAATTGGTTGCGGAAAACAAAAGGGGCCTGTGAAATGGCAACTCATCCATTAAAGCCCCGTTTACACTACGCTCAATTTTTGGTACAGCATGGATAAATTGGGGCACAATGCAACCAAAAATCAAGCGTACCGTAGTGTAAACAGGGCTCAAGTTGCATTGTGCCCCAATTAGTGCTGTGTGCCGGAGTTGCCGGAGCCGGAGTTCTGCCAGAGCTCCAGCGGTTTTTCTGATGCCGGAGCCAGAGCAGAATTTTGTATGCCGGAGCCAGAGTTACGTTTTCCCAGCTCCGGCAAAATGACAAGAAAACAATATGAAATGAGACAAATGTCAAACGATTGTTAGTTACTGCAAACTGCCAATTGCTGTTAATGAATTCATCATAGACTCAAACTGCCACAGCCCACAGGAACAGCATCGAAAAGCTGTAATACGATCGCAACTTACAAACGTCATGCTTTCATGAAGCCATCTGACTTAGCTCTACATACTGTAATCTGTATATTCATGCCTTGTAGATAACGAAAAAATACAAAACAAATAAATATCAACCTTTTGAAAATGACAGTGTGCTTTGTTTGCGTGTGAACAATTGCGCTGTGGAGTCTGAGAGTGTTAGCGTCATGCCTGGTGTCAAAGATTTTTCGAGGCTGGTTTCCATATAGATATTTTCTGTGTGTTTTCACTGTTCTGTTTCCAGGGTTCGAATTAGACAGGAAACATCGATTCGCAAATTTCCTTTTTGAAAATTTAAGGAAATTTTAGTTTTGAAAAGTGGAAACACTGCTTGCAAAAACCAAAATGGCGGTCGTTTCGTAGCGAATTTCGTAAATTTTCTGAAGAAATTGTAGCCATATTCTTAATTTCACACATCTTTTTAGTACAAAATTACAATAATAGTCAGCAAAATACTTTATATCTTACATTATAGTAGAATACATTCGAAGTGATTGTGAAAAGCAACCTGTTTTTTCGAAACGTCATTCGCAAAATGGATGATTTTGCGTTCGCAAAAAGCGAATTTTAATACATTCGCAAATTGCGAATAGCGAGCCGCTAATTCGAACCCTGTGTTTCCTGAGTTATGTTATCTGATAATTAGGAAGCGCGAAAAGGGTTATTCATAATAATATTAATAAATGTTCTCTGATCGTAAAACATTTAATATTCCCCGTGGATATTCGTCCGACACCGGATCTTCCTGCTTCACGGCTATTCATCCGACAACGCTTTAAAAGCTAACACTAAACCACTAAAAGGGTTGCGTTGTTTCTTAAGAACGAAGCAACAACATATTCGATACGCTATACGTTTCGTACGTGGTGCGTAAGCGAAAATCACGAAGAAAAAAAAAAAGTATAAAAAAAAATAATAAAATAGTTGCGCGAGCAGGAATCGATCCCAGAACTTGGCGCACACAATACGGTTGCCTAAACCACTACACTACGAAGGATTCGCTTGAAATTCAATTAAATTAACGCTGTTTTATTTTTAACGACTTTAACGATATGGAAATGTCGGACGAATATCCACTTCCTTTAATATTTAAAGCTAGATTACAGTCCATTCTGCGCATGTGCGGGCTTTGTTTACATTTTTTGTTTTGGTTTGGATCCACTTCAATTGTATAATATGAAGTATAGCGGCTATGCACTATATAAATGGAGTCCGAGTCAGGAGTGGAGTTGTTAATTTTTTTAAAATTGTCTTCTGAAAGACAAGCAATTAAATATTTTGAAAGATCATGAATGGAAGATATATTGTTGATCAATTCGGCATTTGTTTTTTGTGTGCCTCGTTGATGAAACATTCAGAAGAGACCGACAAAGCCGACCCAAAGGTGCGAGTCATTGTGTTGATTATATTAATGTTCGGCATTGTAAAATAAACTTTGGAAGTGTCAAAGTAATCACTAATTTTTCCTTGGGGTATTTGTTCGTCAAAACACATTGCCAAAGTCATTGTTGCTGTCATGGCAGAAGCACTTGGAGAAAGCTTTTCGCTGGAAGAATTGGAAACGATATGTTCATGTCGCGGCTTGCTCCAGCGGGGCCTCCAGCTTCTGTCTTCGATAGAGTATGGGTATTTTTTGCTCAAGCGCGTGCCGCGAAGAGGATTTTGATACATGTATGAACAATCGAAGGACACATGGTGAGTTTGTATTATTGCTATTAGTTATGTACTGTTCATTAGAAACGTGCTTCACATGTAATCTTATTGTATTTGTTCATTAGTTTATAACTTTATATATGTTTTGTTAGTTTATACGCAAAAAAATGTGGCCTGAGCAATGGTTAATGTGAGAATATGTAATGTTGTTCACCGCGATAGTTCACTCAAAGGATAATGATTATCTAACAATAGCTGGGTAAACTTTGTTTACATATTTTGATACTTTGCCTGCCAAAAATATACACAGACTTATATTTCTGAAAGCTTTAACCACTGGCTTTAACACACATGATTTGTTTTATTAAATACCCCACATAATTATGCATATCCTTGCCGGGTAAAATATCAAATTATGTAAAAAGGCTTACCTGTCTATATACAAGTGTACATAGCTGTGAAAATGCAGTAATTTGGTGGTAAGAAATATCTGTGTTTCACTGTGCTTGAGTCTTTGCATTTAATTAATGATAAATATATTCATTTCAGAATCTTGTGGAAGCAATGGATTTAAATGCCCTTTGAAGAGCATTTGCGTTAGAGCTTATACAGCATCAGCCAGCTGCATTTGTCAATTTGGTAAATTGCCAGGTGAACCGCTTCAACCAGACCCAGCTACGAAAAACCAGAAAATGCCTCAGAGTATTACAAATGTGGATGCTGTGTTGCAATGCCAACAAAATGGGTAAACAAATGCTGTACACAATCAAGACAGCCTTGCATAACCGCCTAGCCCTCTCTTCCCACAGTGGCACAGTTAGTACTTGATGGAAATGTTCGATCTGGACATGGCCATGCATTAGAGGGATCATTGAGGGAAACTTTATTATTCATTAATCCATTTTACTGCAATTATCTCCCCATGACAGGGAGGATCATTTTAAATATTTTGAAAGAACTTGGGTAATTCACACCTGTTAAGGCCCATTCACACAAGCGATTTTAAACTTTGATTTTCTCCTTTTGGCATTTGTGTTTTAGCAAAATTACAGGAAACATTACTTTGCATGGCTTGATTATTTACTCTAACACATACACCAAAAGAAGAAAATTGCAGTTCAAAATTGCTTCAAACTTATTATAAGCTTTCTCTGTCTACTAACCACAGCAAATTTTGCTAACAAATGAAAGCCTTTATCATGTTACTGCCGTTCCAATTGAAGTGTTGCTCAAATATTGATTCAATACATTACCTCGGGCTGACCACTTCATTTCATCAAGTTCCTCGAGATATTCATACACTTCCTAGTATAATTGTAAACTTCCTGTTGAATAGTTTGAATGCACCAATCACCTTTGTTGTTTGTGCAACTAACCAATCATAAATAGAAAGGAAGTGACCAGAAATTATCAAATACTTGGAACTGGCTCTTTCACAGGAAGTGTATGAATATCTCAAGGAACTTGATCAAATGAATTGGTCAACCTGAGGTAATGTATTGAATCAATATTTCAGCAACACTTCAATTGGAATGACAGTAATGGTTAAATGTTTATGAACAGTAATATTTCATTATATAAAAGACCAGTTATCAAATACATTGGATGTTCAAGCACAACATTTTGTATATTGACATTGATTTTTTTATTCTTTAAAATTACTCCTTGCTCCTTACTTCAGTCCTGAAAAGTGTATTGCTGTGCACCGAAGATCAATGAATCCAATATGGACACCCTGGCTCAGTATTGGGGTCCAGGGGTTTGTAATCAGATTTCCTTCTCCTAGGTGGATCGCCTTTCAGGGATTATGAGCTCCACCTAACAGAACACTTTGTTTCATGCAAATCAAAATTTGGCTTTCCAAAAAGTCTTAAGTGCTCTTAAAACACGTCAATCAACATGCCTACAGAACGATCAAAATATTTGTTTGAAAATGTGATATGAAGAATATGGAATTTCATAATGAAAAGTGAAAACTAAAAGTCACTTTTTTTCTCACTAGGATTCAGGAAAGCATAAAATGTTATACATACCTTCATTATAAGTTGTAGGATGTATTCGTACTGCCTAGGAGAATCTTTAAGAATCTTTATATGGCTCCATTGCTGTTTCTTCCCCTTGCTGAACATATACTGGCAATGGCTCATGTCTGCATTGTATTGTTTCATCTGGCTACTGATCCGTCTGGGTTTCCACAGCGCTATAAGTGAACAATAAAATTTTGTAATGAGGAAATATAACAACATTAACATAACTGAAATATCCAGGGATATGTGTTATGTGCTTACCACAATTAAATCCGTCTTGATGTTTCGTATACAGGCTCGATCAGCATAGTATTCGCGAACCCTCGTCACTTTTAATTCCAGCTTCAGTTTTGAAATGATTTCACCGTCCAATAGTATCATTAAAGTACATTTTCGTTGCATACCTTTTCGCGAAATGTTCTTTTCGATTTCCTGGTTGGTTTTGGCGACCAGCATTAGAAGAAATTGCCTTTGAAGTGGACGGCTCTATTATATAACTCTTACGAGTCGGCCATTTTGAGCGCGCATATCCGAATAAGGACTGGAGAGCACACAAAATCAAATCAAAACAAGTGTGCTCACATTTGTTTACATTTTTGACACATGCGCAGAAGCGACTGTAATCTAGCTTTAATATTTTATGATGTGGCCGGAGCTCAGAGCTGTAATTCGGCCGGAGCCGGAGATGAAAAACCGGAGTTTGCACAGCACTAGCCCCAATGCATCCTACTTTATTATTTTAACCCGTCTAATTCCAGATGATTTTACTTGTGAAGGGGAGAGTGCTGGCACTCAATGGGCAGATCAATAGGCTGATATTAATAGGCCGTGGGCTGTTAGCCAAAAGTTATTTCGCTTTGTGGCACCCATGTGGGAAATACTTGGTTTAGGGTTTATCTGAAAGGCATATAGGTACATCACTACCAAAAAAAGTTCCCAAGCAAAAACGTTGCCCAATCCCGAGAAAATGGGTGATCAATGATTATCCTCTATTAAATTGTATTACTGCAAAAAAATGGGAAATTCTGTATTCAATTACAATAAAAATGACTTGCATTATCTGAAAACATACAAAAAACCGCATATAAGCCTTTTAAACAGTTTTTTTTTGTTTTTCAATTAGTCTTTGAGTTATTGCTGTTTTAAATGTGAAAATTGGACCAAAATGTCACAATAAGGACTAGGTACTAGGTCAAAAACACTTTTTGACAACATATATTAACTCGAAAACAATTTTAGGTATAAACCAGAGGGCACTCAGAGACTGCATACGTCCGCCTACGCGCAAAATATTGAAGTAATCTATTGTTATTAGAATTTGAATGGCTGGTGCATATATTATGCACGTCCTAATTATGCATTCAGTATAAAGTTTTATTTAATTGACCGGGAAAAGCAAGACAAACTTTTGTTATTTCTCATTCAATTTTTAACCAAATTTAACCAAATTTTAATCAGTTCTTCCTTAGCCGATGGGAAATGCACTCACAAAATTTCGTACGGATATGTTTGGTATTTCTTGAGTTATCGTGCTCACAGACAAACACACACACATACATACACACATACATACACACATACACACACACATACACACACACATACACACATACAAACCCAGATGATTACATAACCTCCTGGCGGAGGTAAAAAACTGTTTAAATGTCTTATATGTAGGTTTTTGTAAGCTTTCTGATGATGCAAGTCATTTTTGTTGTAATTGAATACAAAATTTTACATTCTCTTGCTGTAATACAATTTAATGGAGGATAATCACTGATCACCCATTTTCTCGGTGTTGGGCAAGTTTTTTGCTTGGGAACTTTTTGTGGAATTAAGCATGCATCTATGGTTCTATGAATTGAACCACAGAAAAAATCTATTTCCCAGGAGGGTGCCACAAAATTGCTTTTCTAGGCACTTTTTTGCACAACAGCCCACAGCCTATAACCTATTATAAGCACATGCAGCAGTGCAGTGAGCGCTCTCCACTATAGCTAATTTAATAGTGAACATTTACGTTATAATCATATGAAACAGAGTAGTTAATTTAATGAAAACTTTAACAAGCATTTATTTGTTGTGGCATATTCATTTATTTATATATTATCAAAGTGGGCAATATTTGTTAATAATGTCCTGGTAAATATCATGATTCAGTGCAGTTTGTACTTATCAAGTATTATGTAATTTACGGATCATTTTTCTTTATAGGCTCAGGAGCAAAGTCGAAAAACTTTTTTTCTGGCTTTGTTTGTGGTCATCTTGCAAAGCATGTTGAAGCTCGACATTTGGTTAAATTAAAAGAGGATCGTTTCATTCTACGTTTTAATGATATTGATAGGATTACCTCTATTTACTGTGACTATATCTATAAAGAAAAAGGCAAAACATTAAAGAGAGACTTTAAGAATAGGAGAGATAATTTTTTAAAAATAGTGGGGCAATTAGAAAGTGATGGGTTTCTGAAGAATGTTGGTAGTGGGAAAGACTATGACAAAGAATTTCTCAAGTTTGAGGTTAAAAATAGTGGAATGTGGCATTCACTTACAAAAAATTATTCTGTTCCGAGAAATCCTCTCATGGTAATACGGCCATTATGACATTTATCTTTAAATTTATATTCTTTCCAAAGTTTGTAGCAATTTATACATTATTCTGGTCTATTAACAAGAGTGAATTTAATTTTAACTTTCCAGAATCTTGAGAATTTTTGTGCAAGTCGTGGTGAACCAGATACAGGACTAGGTATTTTTATGCAAGTTTGTATTTAGTACTAGTTTACATGGACCCACTTTGCCAGCAGGGAATGCAGGGATTATTCTGATATTATGGCCCGATTTTGAGGGGAGGTGCGGCGGGAGGTGTGCACCTGAGATCGTTTTGCAACTCCCTGAGAATTTTTGCACCTCCCCTGAAAAATTATGCACCTCTCCTTGGGAGAATTTCCATGATAGCGATTAAAGTGAAAATTTGACATTTTTTGGTTGCTTAGGGTCTACACTTTGCAAGAAATGTTTTTCTGTAAAATTGAAACAGTGATACCCATTTATCTCTGTGTCAAGTACCCAGGGACGTGGCAAATCATCTGAAGTTGGTGGGTGTTGGAGGATTTTGCCTGAAATTTGAACTTCAATATTAAAAATTTACCTGAAGTGTAATATTATAATAGAGCCTTTTCTGATTGATTGACTCACAATAACTCTATTTTCATGGTGAGCTTTTGAAAAAAACGGGGGTCTTAAGTGTTCCTCCCAGAAGCTCCAGGACTGCAATTTTGGTGTTTTCTAAAGCAAATTATTTTGCAAATGAATTGCATCTAAATTGATTGTATTGTACAAAAATGGTTATTATTTCACAAAAATAACAACTTTTATTACATTAATTTAGTTTATTGTACGATCATCCAGATTAAATTTTTTAATTATTTCTGACGTTTCGGCTACCTACACGGCAGCCATTACGTCAGAAATAATTAAAAAATTTAATCTGGATGATCGTACAATAAACTAAATTAATGGAAAAACCCGGATTCAAGCCCTTTAGTGAACTTTTATTACCCCAATTTTACCTGAAAATGTCAAAATTTAAACTTGAATGTTACCTGATTTTTTATGCGAGAGTTTCACATTTGGAGGGATTTACAACCCCCCCCCCCCCTCGGTTGCTGCATCCCTGCAAGTACCCTTTTAATGTGATATTTTGAAAGAAACTTAAGTTTGTAGTAGTATTATTGTAAAGAAGGTGAAAATTGGATGAGTTGTACAGTTACAATTCATTAATACACTGATACATATATATGTACATTACTGAGTGATGCATAACACCATGTTTTTGACTTGGCCTGTTCTATATAGCCCTAACAGTCTGTCCATGCGGGTTGTGCGCTAAACCCCTGCACCTCCCTAAATATTTCTCCACTTTCCCCACTATTTTCACCAAAATCCAGCCTTGTCTAGTAATGTATTATAAAACAAATTACATTTCATAATTAACCAAAACTATCATGTTATTTTCCTTATAAAGTTTTCACAAAAAAACACAAACAAAAAGTTGCTTTATTATAATTTAAGCTGCCATACTAATTTTAACTACAGGACATTATTTCACTTTTCATTTAAGTCACTAATATTGCATTGATCGATACATCTACATGCAGTACATTGTCCATGTATAGCTAATCCATTAAGTGAGTTGCATTGTACCCCAAGACACTAATAGCTGCCTTATTATTTTACCTTGTCTAACATTAGTCAATTTTGCTTGTCGCACTCACGATCAATGACCAGTTATAATCTCCAATCCGTCTAGTTAACCCATTAAATTGTAATACAGCTTCTGTTATTATTTCATTCTTTCTAATACCAGCCAGGTTATTTCGTGTTCGTATTTTAGCCAATCAGCGCTCAGAAAGGGTTGTCCGAATAGAAATCCATTTTGATGTATTCAGTCAATTATATCTTTTGTTATTCTTTATGAAACTAGTTGAAATTTTGTAATTATGTTTGGTTATACGAACTATAGCTCTGAAAAAAATATGGAATCGAAATAAAGTATATTACAGGAGATATTCCGTTGTTTTAATCATTATAAAGTGGATTTCTATTTGACAACTAGTGCCAGTACTTTTCTGCGTATCAAGATCATCTGGAGATGATTTTACTTGTGAAGGGCAGAATGCTGGCGCTCAATAGGTTATAAGCATCCTATCTTATAGGAGAAGCGGAAGTAACATTGCCCTTATTGATCTTTTAAATTCCAGATGTATAAATTAAACTTTATTTGAAATATAGCATTACTCGTAAATCAAAGAAGTTTAATAGTATAAATATTTCAGCATAAGTACTTCTCAAACCACTTTATTTCCTGTACTAATATATATACTTGTATCTTTTTAATATTATAGGCACGACCCAATCTGATGAGCCATTGCATAATGAGGTGCAGAACACATTGTTTATACACATTCACATTCTTCCCAACCTAAACGGGCTCGATCTGGCTTTGGCCTATTATTAAGTAGAGTACTCGGCAGTTGGCACTTAATTGATCTGTATGTAGGTCATTTGACTTCATGAATTTTTGGTCAATTTGGATACAGTATTTACCAGAATTAAAAGAACCAAAAAGAGAATTAAATTGGGGGCTACAGTATTTTGCGGGGGGGGGGGGGATTTTGATGGTTTTCTTTGAAACTTTTGAACTTTTGTAATTCATATATGTATCAGTGGCATATATTAGGTGAGCGTAGGAAATGACGTATAGGTTTGTGACTAAAAAAATTACTGAATTTTGGGGGGAGCTCCCACCCAAGTACCATAACCTATTGTAAACACGAAGGACGGGAACACATACAATCTTGTTTGGCAGAAAGCCCAAAAATTTTCGTAATTAAATTTGATCATAATATTTAAAAATTCTAGCACATATTTAAATAATATAGTAATTATAAATAGCACATATAATTCTATTACATATATCTTTTTTATAAAAGATACAGTTGTATAACCTCTCTCAAATGTTATCAAGTGAACAGAGTTTTCTGTTAAAAACACATTTTCAAAATTGGCCATTTGTCTCAATACAAAATTAAACATTTTCAATGAAAAACTATTATTTTCGTTTCTGGAAATTGCAATCTATAAAAAGACTGAAGATTAAATCAAATTCATATGCATTCAAATTTCAGTCTTGATTATTTAACTTGACTGCATAGTTTCTCAGGTTTTAGCTGTGGATCGACATACATATGTATTGTAGAAAATCAATTACATGCTTATTTTGTATATAATAAATGCACAAAGCTTAATTTCAATGGTAGGGATGCAACTACCTGAAAAATATAAGGAGAAATTTGTTGTTTTGAACTACTAATATATATATATATATATTCATGTTGGAAACGGGTCTTCACAACACAATCACAAAATTAATAAAATATATAATAAAACAAAAATAAATTTACAAGTATAATCTGATATGTAGTTCACGCTTCGCTAAGGTTTTTCGATCAACAACGTGTTCGTTACATTCGTCCCCGGAATTACATCACCCCGGGCAAAGTTCCCAGAGGACTAAATTTCCGACATTGCGCAATTTACTTCACTCTCCCCCTATTTGACTTGCTACAAGACAAATATATAACCTAGTAAATCACGTGCTAAACAACTAACTTTAATGTAAATGTATCTTTAGTTCCTGCTAAGTGTTCTCTCTAGTCCAATTCGTCTAGTTCATTTCTAGCAATGTTCGCTATACGTTCACGAGCTTCGACTGCTGCGGCTCTCGTAGTTCTTTCAGATGACTTTTCTTGTTTTTCGTTTGTTCCAATATCTTCAGTTGGGTAGATATCACACGATAATTCCATCGGGAATAGATGTTGCATCGCACGTTCGATATGGGACTTCCCTGCTCTCAAACCGCGCTCCTCTTATTACACCGTCTCTGCCGACAATGAACGATTCGATTATCCCAATTTTCCACTTCCCTCGGTTGCGTTCGTCTCCTTTAATTAGAACTACGTCACCTCGTTTCGCTGTCATCTGCTTCGTGTTGTGCTTTAGCTTGTGTCTTTCTCGTAATGATTTGAGGTATTCGTTCGTCCATCTGGACCAAACGACATCTTTACATCTTCTCAAGTATCTTGCACGTTTACGAAGGTCGATATTTTCAACTCCGGCAGTTTCTTCTTCTGGGATTTGAGTCGGCTGTACAAACTGCATCGAATTTGGAGTCAATATTGGCATCTGGACATCGTCCTCGATATATGACAATGGTCGATTGTTGACAGTGGTTTCGACGTCGAACAGAACTTCTTCTAACTCTTTCCAACGTAGGTTTCCATGCCCGATCGATTTATACAGCGCTTGTTTCATCACACCGACTAACCGTTCAAACTGCCCGCCCCACCATGGGGCGCGGCTTAAGTTAAACTTCCACTTGATATCTTGCTTTGCCAACCAATTGTTGAATTTCTCATCGTTTCGAACTCTTTTCAGCCATTTTGCCGTCGCTACGAATGTTTTACCGTTGTCGGAGAATATTTTTGCTGGACGTCCTTTCCTTGCTATAAATCGTTTCAAGCTGAGCAAGAACTCTTCGGTACTTTGATCTGGTAATAGGTCGAGATAGAGAGCTCTCGTTAGACTGCATGCATATAACGCCACGTAAGCTTTCTTTTCCTTCTTCGTTTTGCTTAGATATCTGATCGGACCTGCGTAATCAACTCCGATGACTTTAAAGGGTGTTGAACCGGTCGTCCTCTCGAGGGGTAGATTAGCTGTCGGAGGATCTGCATATGCTTTGACTTGGAATCTTTTACATCCATGGCACTTTCGTATCACACGTTTCGTCAATCGTCTTAATCTTGGGATCCAATATTTCTCTCTGATCTTAGTCATTGTTAGTAAAGCTCCCCCATGTAAGGTCTGCGAATGTGCATGTGTAACTAATTTCTCGGCAAGTACGTCTTCGTCATCAATCTTCCGGACGCGATGGTTAACAAATTGTTTATACTTGCCATTTCCCTTTATCCAATATAATGCTACGGTACTATCGAGCCAACTGAACGTGTTTCGAACCGGAAATCCCATCAAGGATTCCTTCACATTATGAAGCAAGTTCGTGGACATATGACCTGCGACAAGTTCAAGTCTGGGAATAGTTAAACCTTTCTTGGCGAGTCTGGACTTCGACGCTACGATACCTTGGTTGATACCGGACTGTTGCTCGGTTACGGCATATACGACTGATGACACTCCCTTGCCACTAGCATCGCCGAAGGCATGTAGATCAATTGCTTCAATTTCTTCTTCATAACCAACAAGACTCCTCGTTGTCTCCACTTCCTTTGGTAGATTTTGTTCCCACGAAATCCATTTGGCAAGCAATTCTGGTGTCAGTTCCTTGTCCCAAGGCATTCGCGCATCGCAGACTTCTCTATAGATTAGTTTTCCTTGTAATGTTGTGGGTGATACAATCCCCAGAGGATCGTATATTTTGGCGATGTTTCCCAAAACA